GCGATAGTAAGAGAAAACCAAATGCCGTTTCACATATTAAAGAAGCCAAATGCAGGGTAATAATACATGATTATGTTAATAAGAATTTATGGAAATTTTTCATTTTTTTTTAATTATCTATTTTTAGATTTGGGCACGTTCATTTCTATAGTAATAACGAAGCTGCAATGTTTTATAATTATGTTAAAGACCTACCGTTTCCTGATGGACCTGGAAATACCGAAATTCAATTCTCGGCATCGAAAGATGATGACGATGAATATGTTACATATGAATTATCAAATAACGAAGCTCTAAACATTGGTTCACAAAATAATCAGGAAGCTACGCAAGATATAAATGATTCTGATGAATTCGATCTTTATGAACCATCGGTAATATTTCAAATACAATTAATGGGGTGTTTCAGAGTTAATAATCAGGTTTCTGATTTCGAATTGTTTTATTTTAGAACATTTCGAGTAAGAAAAATAAAAGAAGCAATGAAAAAACTTTAAATGAAGCCGTTGAAGTGCCGGTAATTTCAAATTAATTTAGTATATTTTAAACTACGAATATTTTTATTATTATTAATTATAATAAAAAATTTTTTACTTTAGAACAATCCTAAGAGAAATAAAATAAGCGAAAATAAAATTTCAAATGAACCTGAGTATGCATTATATGAGAAGCGGTACGTAAAATTAACGTTAACAACAATTACTGTATATGCTTAATATTGCTTAAAATAGTAATTAACGCACGTAATTATTTTAAAGTGATGAATACGTCATAGTTATATATATACCCGGCATAGAAAATAAAGATCAACTCCAAATAAGATTTTCACGGGCAAAACAGATTATAAATATTTCTGGTCAATTTCGACCCTTCTTGCATTTCGGCAAGTGATCACAAGCACGATTACCACGGGACCTTTTGGTATAAATATCTTTCTTGAAAAAGAGTAAGTTTAATACGTCAATTTAGTTTTATTATTAAAAAACCATTTATATTTACATTTACATTTACATTTACATTTATTATTTATTTAGGATCGATGTTGAAAATACCTCAATTATGATTAAGAATGGGGTTGCCAGCTTAAGCATTCCAAAAAAGAAACCCAAGCAACCCGTTATTATTTTAATTGATTGAATGTATATTCTTTAATGTTTTTGAGACTTTACAATTGTCGAAGTAAAGCGTTGACGTTTTTTGAGGTTTAAATAAAAAATAAATATACTAGACAGTTTATAGCATTTACCATAATTCACGGTAGTTCTTAATTTTTTTGAACACACTAATTTAAACATCGATTACAGTTCATTGAATTATCAATTACTGAGTAATATCGATAATTCAAAAAAATAATTTATAATCTTGCGTTAAGCAGATAATATAAAGTTTTCGCAGTAGAAAAACCGGAACTACCCCAAAGTGGCAAGTTTTAGATTTAAATAAGATTTGTATAATAAAAACGAGTTAAGTGACGTTCATGTTAGACCTAAATTTAAATAATCAATACGAATGCTAAAGCAAGAATATTACAATAAATATCCGGATAATTCGGGCACAAGATTTTATTATATTCTATATATCGTGAAATGATCTACGCTTCTTCCAACAATTTATTAATGTTAAAGAAATATACTAATTTGAAGTCTTTCTTTTTTTAGTTACGCCATATCTCAATTTTTGTTTAGCAAATTCTTCATTTTTTCTTTTTCGATTTTGTTTTTTCATCACGTTCTTTCGTATTTTTCGTTTCGCTGCAGATTCTGGATCAACAATAGCCTAGAAAATATTAATTAGATTCATCATTGAATTTTCTCAAATAGTAATTAGTTAATCTTACCTTAATAACTCGTTTATGTTTTCTTTCCCTTCTCACATCCGCCACTTGCTGTCTTACTTTATTATACGCGTTATGATATTGAGTTGTGCCAACACGTTTCTGTAGTAAATCAAGAACTTCTTTTCCCAATTGTTTAAGATTATCTGTCATGAAAATAAATACAAGGTTTATGATAACTACTTTTATTAATCATAATAATATTAATTAATTTGTCAATAATAATCTACCTATATCTTGACCTTTGGCTGTCTCACTGTTTATTAAACGATATATAGGTGAGATTATAAATAAGAGATAAGACGGTGCTAAGTCATCTGGTGACATGCAGGTGACCATTGCGGCAAACCATTGATATATGCTTGTTCTCTAGAAATAAATAAATTAATGAAAAATAGTAATGAGTTTTACATTATAAAAAAAAAAAAAAATTCTCTATTTATTCATACCTGACAATCAATCTCTTCGTTATTGGATGAAGCGAACCTTGCCTGATATGATAATTTTTTGAATAGCCAAAGCAGGGATGGCTTTATCTTAACACTATCGCTTGTTTGGCTACTAATAACCTGCTGTATATTTTTTTTATCGTCATCGTCGTCATCATCATTATTTGCATCATCTGAATCACATATATTATCTTCATTATCTGCATTGTCTACATTATCCTGGTTTTCATTATCAAAATCTTTAGATGTAGATTCTTCATTAGGATTTTCATCCTTTTCTTTTACAAATGAATTATCTATCTCATCTTCATCGGGTGACAAATAATAAAAACATTTTCCAATGAAAAACAAATTCTTCACAATTTGCGTTGCAAGCTCTTGTCCTAAAAGTTCACTTTTCAATTGTGTACAAAATGACGTGGCCAATTTTTTCAGCAGGTCTTTTGTCAAATAATCGTTTCTTTCATTATTTGATTCTGTAGCAATCATAGTTTCTGGATTAATATTAGCAAAGTATAATCCAAAAAGTCGGCTTGATGCAAGCCTTATCCAGGAATGTGAATGGAGGATATGCTTTTCAACCAGTATCCATATGTTTTTACATTCCTCAAGATAAATAACAGTTGGGAAAGCTTTAATAAGTTTAGTGAATGTATTTAGTGCATAATATCCGATTTCCCAGTCAACATCCACCAACATATCATTTTCTTGATGATCGCTCGTATCATTTGATAACTGTTCCATAATTCGTAAACTTGATTGAAGAGCACTATTTAAAATATTTAATAATTCTGGAATATATTTCTTGAATTTATCATCAAAAGCTTCAATTACAAGTCCATAAATTTGTACTGCCATTCGTTTCAAACTCTTTTTTTCAGCTTGAGCAAACCATTTACCTAACAGGATATAGGTATTTTTTAATCGTTGTTCATCCATTCGCCTAAATAACATCTTAATCAAGACACCTGTCATTTCTCGACATTTGTTAGATTCATCATTAACTAAAGAAATAGCTAAAGCCATGAAAAACATTTCGGCATACTCCATTAATATTTCATCTCCAAATTTAGTAATTATTAGGTTCAGCATCTCCATAGCTGACATTCTACCGCTCTCAAAGGTAAAATTGAGATTTTTGATTAAAAAGTTTACTTGATTTTTAAGGCGTCCACGTCCTTGTGGATAATCCATTAAGAATTGAAATAAAAGTTGTCTTGAAAGATCACGTGTTTGTGAAGATTGACTTGTAATCATTATTTCAGAAACTGTTTGCATTAAATCATAAATCTCTGGAACCACAAATTTACGTGAAATTATGGATTTAATTAACGAGAATGTTGTACTTTGCCGTTGAGGTTCTTCAAGGTCAGGTCGAATTAAATTAATTAAGAAAGTTAATTGACTCTCTTTGACTTCAGCTTGCTTACAAACACACATTATGATTGTAAGCAACTTGAAGCAAGCTTGTACAAGCTCAGAATTCGTAGAGTCTGATGTTTTTATCAAAACAAATGTTTGCTTCACGATAACAGGTAAAGCATCATTCAAGGACTTGAGTTTCAAATTACATAATATGTTCATTATTTTGATAGCAAGAATATTAATGTTCAAATGTTTGGAATACATAGAATTTCCTACTATATCAACGAATTGGTTTAACATAAAAAGTTGTTCCTCAGATTTTGTATCAAACTTTTCGTGTTTAAGAGCAGATGAAAATATTGTTAATCCAAATTGCACAAAAAGAT